CCTGCTGGTTGGGCGCAAGAACGATTCCTGCTGGTTGGGCGCAAGAACGATTCCTGCTGGTTGGGCGCAAGAACGATTCCTGCTGGTTGGGCGCAAGAACGATTAATGCTGGTTGGGCGCAAGAACAATTCGTGCTGGTTGGGCGCAAGAACAATTCGTGCTGGTTGGGCGCAAGAACGATTCATGCTGGTTGGGCGCAAGAACGATTCCTGCTGGTTGGGCGCAAGAACGATTCCTGCTGGTTGGGCAGAAGAACGATTCCTGCTGGTTGGGCGCAAGAACGATTCCTGCTGGTTGGGCGCAAGAACGATTCCTGCTGGTTGGGCGCAAGAACGATTCCTGCTGGTTGGGCGCAAGAACGATTCCTGCTGGTTGGGCAGAAGAACGATTCCTGCTGGTTGGGCAGAAGGACGATTCCTGCTGGTTGGGCAGAAGAACGATTCCTGCTGGTTGGGCAGAAGAACGATTCCTGCTGGTTGGGCAGAAGAACGATTCCTGCTGGTTGGGCAGAAGAACGATTCCTGCTGGTTGGGCAGAAGAACGATTCCTGCTGGTTGGGCAGAAGGACGATTCCTGCTGGTTGGGCAGAAGAACGATTCCTGCTGGTTGGGCAGAAGAACGATTCCTGCTGGTTGGGCGCAAGAACGATTCCTGCTGGTTGGGCAGAAGGACGATTCCTGCTGGTTGGGCAGAAGGACGATTCCTGCTGGTTGGGCTACAGGTTCGAGAACAACGAATTCTTGCTTTGAAGGAAAGTCGATGGAAGGTTTTAGCCATTTAAGATTCTTTCTTTCCGCTGTTGGGACTGGAAATGTGAATGAGGACTGTCACTGGTTGCTAGGGGCAACAAGACCATCTGGTTGCTTTGGGCCCTCAGACTTCGGAATGAGACGCAATGTGTCTTTAGAAGTCTTGTTGCCCCTAGTAACCCTTCAACACTGGAAACGAGAATCCGATTGGTTGCTACGGGCAGCAGGAATGGTTGTGGTCTTTGACAATTGTGTATGGAGCCCATTGTGTCCACGAAGGGCCCATTATGAGGAAAGTCCCGTTCTGTGATCCCCGTCCAATACCGTGTGGCCACAGCCGCCGAAATAAAACATCCAGTCATGCCGCTTCCCAGAATACGGACGGCGGGACTGTGGAAGTCTAATTTTAACTCCCTAAGTGTTTGAGGGCGCTAAAAAAGCGGCTGCAATGATTGAGCGGCGAGCTGGCGGGACCTACAGAGGAACAGATTTCCCAGCATACGCGCCGAGGAGACGTGGTGACAAATTGGCCACAAATATGTTTTTAATTTAAAAGGCAATCAATAGCGCGGTGCAATCCGTTTAATGGGATGGCGGCTTCTGGCCCCACCCTCCCCTCCCCCTCGCCTCTGAAGTTTCGTTTTTTTTGTCTTTGAAGCCGCTGTTAACCTCTTTACTGCAGAACGCTGCAAATTGGGCTTCAGCCGCCCCGCCAACGAGCCGCTGACATCTCTCCAGCAACAAATCCTACTCTACAAAAATCAGGAGAACTGAGGGCTGCGTCCGGCCTGAGTCCAGAACTGAGGGCTGCGTCCGGCCTGAGTCCAGAACTGAGGGCTGCGTCCGGCCTGAGTCCAGAACTGAGGGCTGCGTCCGGCCTGAGTCCAGAACTGAGGGCTGCGTCCGGCCTGAGTCCAGAACTGAGGGCTGCGTCCGGCCTGAGTCCAGAACTGAGGGCTGCGTCCGGCCTGAGTCCAGAACTGAGGGCTGCGTCCGGCCTGAGTCCAGAACTGAGGGCTGCGTCCGGCCTGAGTCCAGAACTGAGGGCTGCGTCCGGCCTGAGTCCAGAACTGAGGGCTGCGTCCGGCCTGAGCCCAGAACTGAGAACTGAGGGCTGTGTCCGGCCTGAGTCCAGAACCGAGGGCTGTGTCCGGCCTAAGCCCAGAAATGAGGGCTATGTCTGGCCTGAGCCCAGAACCGAGGGCTGTGCCCGGCCTGAGCCAGAACTGAGGGCTGTGTCCGGCCTGAGCCCAGAACCGAGGGCTGTGTCCGGCCTGAGCCCAGAACCGAGGGCTGTGCCCGGCCTGAGCCCAGAACCGAGGGCTGTGCCCGGCCTGAGCCCAGAACCGAGGGCTGTGCCCGGACTGAGCCCAGAACCGAGGGCTGTGCCCGGCCTGAGCCCAGAACCGAGGGCTGTGCCCGGCCTGAGCCCAGAACCGAGGGCTGTGCCCGGCCTGAGCCCAGAACCGAGGGCTGTGCCCGGCCTGAGTCCAGAACCGAGGGCTGTGCCCGGCCTGAGCCCAGAACCGAGGGCTGTGCCCAGCATGAGTCCAGAAACGAGAGCTGTGCCCGGCATGAGTCCAGAACTGAGAGCTGTGCCCGGCCTGAGTCCAGAACTGAGGGCTGTGTCCGGCCTGAGTCCAGAACTGAGAGCTGTGTGCGGCCTGAGCCCAGAACTGAGGGCTGTGTCCGGCCTGAGCCCAGAACTGAGGGCTGTGTCCGGCCTGAGCCCAGAACTGAGGGCTGTGTCCGGCCTGAGTCCAGAAATGGAATTGGCACAACCAATGCAGACTGACTGCTAGAAATGGTGACACACTACGTGTTAAGGGTCTTCTTGTGGCAGAGCCCACTTCTAACAGCCAGTATTGGTGGGGCTGACATCAGATAAGGGTTTAACAGTTATACAGCCCTCACCCCCCCCAATGCAGGTTATAGGCTGGGACCTCTACATGACTGAACAGACCGGCCGTTAGAAGAGGAGCCTGCCCGAATAACTACCAAACAATTACTGAGGCCCTGTGCAAGCATATATGGGGGTAAAGACTTGTTAAGTGATTTACAGCCCCTCAGCATATAAACCTCCATTGGGGGGTGAGGGCTGTGTGAAAGTCTAAACCCTCATCTGAAACTACATTATAATCAAAATAATGAAGTACTATACAAGCATACATAGAGCTAAAGTAATTACGTACTTGTGGCAGGCCGCCGTTCTAACAGCCAATCTAAATGTGCCTGATATCAGATAAGGATTTAAACCTTTACACAGCCCTCACCCCTCCAATGGCGGTTAACAGGCTGGGACCTCTGACTGAACAGCCCCTATGCAGATATGAAGTCCGTAACTCTATGCTTGTTCAGTTGCTCATTATTCCTGTAAGTAGTTACTTGTGGTAGACCCTCTTCTAACAGCCAGCCTACATGTGTCTGATGTCAGATAAGGGTTCAAACCTTTACACAGCCCTCATGATTGAACAGCCCATGGATAGAGATGAAGTCTGACTCTATGTATGCTTGTACAGTGCCTCATAATCACTAGTACTTGTGGCAGGCCCCGCCTCCAACAGCCAGCCTAAATGTGCCTGATGTCAGATAAGGGTTTGGATGGTTACATAGCCCTCACCCGTCCAATGGAGGTTATAGGTTGAGAGTCTGTAAATCAATAAATAGCCCCTGGATATAGATGGAAAAACTTCACCCTTCAGTCTATTAAACTCCATCAGAGGAGTGAGGGCTGTGTAAAAGTCTAAACCCTTATCTGATATCAGCTACACCAAGTCTGGCTGTTAGAGGGGGGGCCACCCATGAGTAACAACCTAAACAAATGGGGTTACTTGTGGCAGGCCACTCTTCTAACAGCCAGCCTAAATGCAGCCAATATCCGATAAGGATTTATGCCTTTGCACAGCCCTCACCCCTCCAATGGCGGTCAATAGGCTGGGACCTCTACATGACTGAACAGCCCCCAAGTAGATATGAAGTCCGTAACTCTATCTATACTTGTTCAGGCCCTCTTCTAACAGCCTGCCTACATGTGTCTGATGTCAGATAAGGGTTTAAACCTTTACACAGCCCTCACCCAACCAACGGTGGTTTAATAGGTTGGGGGAGGGGGAGGGTATACATGATTGAACAGCCTATGGATAGAGATGCAATCTTTGACTCTATGTATACTTGTACAGTGCCCCATAATCACTAGTACTTGTGGCAGGCCCCTCCTCCAACAGCCAGCCTAAATGTGGCTGACGTCAGATAAAGGTTTAGACCTTTACACAGCCCTCACCCACTAATGGAGGGAAATAGGTTGGGGGGGGGGGTTATACATGATACCCCTGGACAGTGATGAAGTCTTTGACTCTACGTATGCTTGTACAGTGCCCCATTATTTAAGTCGTTATTTTTGGCAGGCCTCGTCTTTTACAGCCAGTCTCAAGGTGGCTGATATCAGATAAGGGTTTAGCCCTTTACACAGCCCTCACATCTCCAATGGAGGTTAATAGGCTGTAAATTACTGAACAGTTCCTGTGTTCGAGATGTAAAGTCTATAACTCTATCTATGCTTGTACAATGCCTCGTTATTTCCAGCAGGTCCATCTTCTAACAGCCAAGTAGCCGATATCCGATAAGGGTTTAGACTTTTCTATAGCCCTCGTTCCTCCAATGGAGGTTTATGGGCCGAGAGGCTGAACGGTCCCTGTATAGAAATGAACGTCTTGAACCACGTATACTCGCATACAGCGCCTCATTATTTCCAGCAGCTCCATCTTCTAACAGCCAAGTCTTAGTGTAGCCAATATCCGATGAGGGTGTAGACCAGGGGTGTCCTAACTATAGCCCTCCAGCTGTTGAAGTACTACAAGTCCCATCATGCCTCTGCGTGTCTTGCCTGTAGATGTCAGAGTCTTGCAAGGCCTCATGGGACTTGCAGTTCCTCAACACCTGGAGGGCCATAGTTTGGTCACCCCTGGTTTAGACTTTTATATAGCCCTCGTTCCTCCAATGGTGGTTTATGGGCTGAGAGGCTGAACGGTCCCATGTATCCTCGTGTACAGCGCCTCATTATTTCTGTAGGTATCTACTGGTGGCAGGCCCCTGGTAAGGGTCTTTACCCAGCCAGTCCTCAGTAGAGACCACCAGTCCACCAAAAGACCACCAGAGTCTCCAACGTTCCCCCACCCCATTAAAAATGCAATAAAACCCTTTGGCTTGAGTTGGGCTTCGTTGGCCCTTCTGTGTAGAATATTGGGTACCTACCTGGTTCCAGTGATTTGGGATAGTCTCTGGGGGTTGCCCCTCTCCCCTCCTGTCCTCTCCCTCTTTCCCTTTGGAGCTTTGAACGGGCACAGGACTGACAGCCGGAGAGCTGGGCACCAAGGCGGAGCTGCCATCTGGGCAGGCCGGTAAAGTGCATGGGGCCAGTGGCCGGGGTGTCGGGCATTTGGACGGAGGCCGAAGGTTGGGCGAATGGGAGCAAGGGGACAGCTTGGGTGGTGCGGGTGCAGAAGGGGGTGGCAGCAGCAGGCTGGGTGGAGTCTTTGAAGAGTTTAAGGCGTCTGCTTTACTGTGCGGCTTCATGGCCTTTTCTGGATGGTCTTCCGTTTCTGGCAGGTGGTCCTCAGGCTTCCGCTAAGAGGAAGAAGAACAGGCGTTGGAAGGGGCTCCTAACAAACAGGACACAAGTCATGACTTCGACCTGACCTACCTGGAGGTGGGTTTGCCTCTGAAGCTCCAGAGCCTGCGCTGCCCTCTGTTGTTGCAGGGCATACAGCTCTTGTTGCCTTAAAAAAACTGCGATCGGGAGTAGACCGGGAGCTGGCCGGGGTGCTGGAGGTGCGAGGTGGGTGCTCGGCCAGGGTACATAGGTGGCCATAGAGATGCCTGATCCATGACATCAGCTGGGGACAACCAAATACAAAAAATAAATTGTCACTCTGAGACTTTTTTTTCACCAATACGTTCTTATCTTTCATTTCAATTTGAATGAAAACTTGGACTGACAACTCATGGGGCCCCCGGGAAATAGGGGATCACGGGACCCCTGTGTCCTTGCCCAAACTCAAAAAAGCCTATGAAAAAGATACCAGGGGCATCTCATGGGGCCCCCTACTGACCCTGGGCCCTTGGGCAGTGCCCGAGTTTCCAAATGGTCAGTCCGCCCCTGCTTGTATTCCAATCATTGCTGGGACAAGGTCATCCAGCGCCCACAGAAAAGATACCAAACTGCACCCCCCCCCCTTCATGATTAGCCACAGTGGCATCACAACTCCAGTCAGCCCAGGAGAGAGTCGGGAGGAGGTGCAGGTTGTGCTCTCTCTCCTCCTTCCTGCCAGTGCAGCACTCATGTATTCCTATACACACAACTACAGCAGGGAGGAGAGGGGGGGGGAGAGAGCACAACCTGCACCTCCTCCCGACTCTCTCCTGGACACGTCCAGCACTGGGCTGACAGGAGTTGTGATGTTGCTGTAGCTACTCCTGTCAGTTTTGTATCAGAATGAGCTCACCACACAGCGCCCCCCATAACTATGGTAAACTGCTGCTCCCAGGGCAGTTGCCCCTCCTGCCCACCCCTTGTCCCGACCCCGATTACAACTGGGCAACTTTTTTTGCTTTTAAACACAATCAGCTTTTTTTATACAATTCGAGGGTCTCTTCTATGGTGGCCCCCACCTACCTACAATAATAAAGGGGGCACCTTCACCAAGGCAAGCGTGACATCACTAGGACTTTTCTTACGTTGGCCATACACAGCTCAAATGTCAGCCAAATCCAAAAAATAGACTGACCCCAGTGGAAACTTTTTGGACGGACAATGACTGCAGCCAATCAGAGGAACTCCTGTGGATACAGGGAAAGCTGAGGAACCCAAATGCCTTAAGAAGTCCCTCCCATGCGGTACTAGAAGACCGCCTCATGAGATCCTCAGCTGTCCCAGGAACCCAGTAGAAGGCCCAGTGATGTCCCCCTTACCTAGCCAAGGTGTGAATGGGACGATTTGTTTTTTTAATTTTCCTCCTACTAATAAAATGAAGCAAATTCTCTGTTTAATATGTTAGAAGGGGACAGATATATTTGTTGTCCCTACGGCTTGCGCTGCGTATTACTGTCCCTACTTTCCGAATCTTGTCCTGTTATCACAGCGCCTTTTTCGGGTTTTCATTGAATTTTGTTTTTTTCTAACACAAATGGGAGGAAGAATCTACAGATATGTAACAAACTGGAACAGAAATAAACACACAACAATTAGTTAGTTTATAGTAAAGTGTATCTAAACCAAAAAACCAAAATGTCATCACAGCTTAGCAGCCCCTACAAGTGTCGGCTGCATTCGTTTTATTTTGTTAGGGCTCAGAACATTTTTAGCAAATATCTATTGATCCTGACAGAACTGCAGTGTCCCTGTGAGCTGAATACGCCACATAAACAATGTCGTTTGTAAACTACTAGTCCCATCAGTCCCCCATGTAATGGTGAAAATCAAAGGTAAACTTGTTTGCAGTCCAGCCTATGTGCCAACCATGGTTTCCTCCACAGGTAGCAGCCCAATGGACAACCATGGCTACCCCCACAGGCATCGGCCTCTGTGCCAGCCATGGCTACCTCCACAGGCATGGGCCTATGTGCCAGCCATGGCTACCTCCACAGGCATGGGCCTATGTGCAACCATGGCTACCTCCACAGGCAGCAGCCTCTGTGCCAACCATGGCTACCTCCACAGGCAACACCATCCATGTCAACTATGGCTACCTCCACAGGCATCAGCCTCAGTGCCAACCATGACTACCTCCACAGACAGCAGCCTCAGTGCCAACCATGGCTACCTACACAGGCAGCAGCCTCTGTACCAACCATGGCTACATCCACAGGCAGCAGCCCAGTACCAAGCATGGCTACCTCCACAGGCAGCAGCCTATGTGACAACCACGACTACATCCATAGGCAGCAGCCTCAGTGCCAACCATGGCTACCTCCACAGGCAGCAGCCTCAGTGCCAAGCATGGCTACCTCCACAGGCAGCAGCCTCCGTGCCAACCATGGCTACCTCCCCAGGCAGCAGCCTCCGTGCCAATCATGGCTACCTCCATAGGCAGCAGCTTCAGTGCCAAGCACGGCTACCTCCACAGGCAGTGGCCTCCGTTCCAGCCATGGCTACCTCCACAGGCAGCAGCCTCCGTGCCAACCATGGCTACCTCCACAGGCAACAGCCTCCGTGCCAACCATGGCTACCTCCCCAGGCAACAGCCTTCGTGCCAACCATGGCTACCTCCCCAGGCAACAGCCTCCGTGCCAACCATGGCTACCTCCCCCCAGGCAGCAGCCTCCGTGCCAACCATGGCTACCTCCATAGGCATCAGCCTTAGTTCCAACCATGGCTACCTCCATAGGCATCAGCCTTAGTTCCAACCATGGCTACCTCCATAGGCATCAACCTATGTGACAACAATGGCTACTTCCATAGACAGAATGGGGAAAGGAGTGTAGCCATGAAGGAATGGCAAATGCAGGATCACCAGGTAAAAATGAATAGAAAATGTCCTGAGAAAAAAGAAATATAATGCAGCCACCACATCTAAGGACCAATAAGCTGTAATATATTACATTTTTGTTTTGGGGTTTAGATACGATATTAATGAAAAGACATACTCCCCAAAAAAACACACCAACACGCCATACACACGGTTAAACAAAAAGAATGATGAAAAGGTGCTGCCACTTACCAAGGGAGTGCGGAGCAGGATGGGGAGAGGGCTCTGGAGGTAGTATTACCAGCTGGGCGGGAGGTTCTTGCGATAGGGGGAACACTGGTTGCATGGCACTAGACATGGAAGGGGGGAATCCAGGGGGCAGATTCTGGTGCAGAGCAGGGTGACTAATACCTGGGGGCACATCAATTACAGTTTCAAAATTCTAGGACTACAATTTCTATTTCTAGCCCTTGTAAATCAAGATTGGATTACAATGTTCAACAAACCAATGGCATGGAGCTATGGAGCCAAACTGGTAGTCTTTAAAGGGACCAGGCACGCTGTCTATGGTGCTGAGGAGGAATGATGTGGGCAGAGCCATGTACACTTCCCAGCAGCGTTTCTAAAATCAGTGGTTTCATACCTTCCATGTCTGCCAGGCAATGGCTTTATTTCCCACCAGTTCCATTCCTGGACAATGGTACAACAGAAGGTGTGGGGGTGCAAGGCCACAGAGACACAATGAAGCCTGTGGGAGTGGCACTGAAACCAACCAATAGCAGAGACGAGGAGGAGATCGGTACAATTACCTATGCAAAGGGTCCCCATCTACTTCCGGATTCTATGGAAAGGTAAATCATGGCTTCCGGTTAGACATTCGTCCTCATAAATCCCTTTAAAGAGGACCTTTCCCTTTGCAGTGAATTAAGTGCCGTAATGATGGGTAAGACAGAAATTGAAAGTCGACCTGAACTTCATATTAAAGTCCTGCCTAGCAGACGAGCCTATGAGATGCCCACAAGTTGCTTTATTCGCCTTTTATGTGCACCTCTCTGATTTCGTTACATTTTGTTACTGGGGGTTGGAGTTGGTGCAGCCCTATCAACGTCCACTATGCTGTCCAATGACCCAGCACCATTGGACAGTACGAGCAAACTCAATGGACTAGAAAAGGCAGTTGGCACAGCTTTGTCATGATGTCAGGGATAGTCAGGCCCCAGTAAGAAAGAGAAACTGGAAATGGCAGTTGGCAGTTTGGTCATGATATCAGGGACATTCAAGTCCCAGTAAGGAGAAACTGGAAATGGAAATTGCCACAGCTTGGTCATGTCGTCAGGGATAGTCAGACCCCAGGAAGAAGGAAACTGGAAATGGCAGTTGGCACAGTTTGGTCATGTCGTCAGGGACAGTCAGAACCCAGGAAGAAGGAAGAAGGAAACTGGAAATGGCAGTTGCCACAACTTGGTCATGTCGTCAGGGATAGTCAGACCCCAGAAAGAAGGAAACTGGAAATGGCAGTTGCCACAGCTTGGTCATGTCGTCAGGGATAATCAGACCCCCGGAAGAAGGAAACTGGAAATGGCAGTTGGCACAGTTTGGTCATGATATCAGGAACATTCAGGCCCCAGTAAGGAGGAGAAACTGGAAATGGCAGTTGCCACAGCTTGGTCATGTTGTCAGGGATAGACAGACCCCAGCAAGAAAAACTGGAAATAGCAGTTGATGCAGCTTGGTCATGTCGTCAGGGATAGTCAGACCCCAGCAAGAAAGAAACCGGAAATAGCAGTTGATGCAGCTTGGTCGTTATGTCAGGGACAGGCTCCAGTAACAAAAGAGAAGCTAAGTCAGAGGGGCACAGAAGAAGCTAATGAAGATAACAACCATCTTCTCATGTTTTCGCTCAGGCGTGAATTTTACAAGAAAGTAGTACAGGTTCTCTTTAAGTGATGTCAGGCAGGGAAGAGTGAAGAAGCTGAGTGTAGCTTAAGGTTTGCAGCAAGGAGGAGGTGACTCTGTGAGAAGCAGAAGGAATGAAGGAAGTGAGTCGGAAGACCAGTGTTGAAGTGTCTTGTGGTGGACGCCATTGGCCAAAAGTCACACCAATATTCATTACATAAAAAATTGTTATTTATATCATTCTAAAGAAAACATCATATCGTAATGTCAAAATTATTGATCAATAACACCCAACACTGCAGTTTCTTTTAGGAATCTTGGGCTGCCATTAAGGTAAAGAAGCTTTGAAAGACCCCACCATCATTCTGCAGACCAACCATGCTTACCATAAGAATGGCCGCCCATCCAGATGGATGGGCTCCTTGTTCTGGGCAGCCAGTGCGGGTGGGTGGGATGCGTATGCGGTGTAGGATCGGCTCCTAGCTGGCTTGCGCCTCCCGCTATCATAAGATGAGGTGTTAAGTCTCCTGGACAGCCGCTAGAAGGATGAATCCTGGCAAATTCCACCAGGTCCTTGTTTTCCCTAAAATGAACGAGGAGAAATGAGTGTAGCACAAACAAGATAGGCAGTCAGGACTATAGTCACACTTTGGAAAGAACCAATCATATTTGGAAGTAATGCAACCAGACCTTTCATAAAAATGTTACGTCAACTTTTAGGGTAGCCCCTCACGAAAACTTTAAAATGCTTACTTTATACACAGTTCCTGGCAGCTTCTTGTAGGCACCAGTGGTGTCAATGGGCCTTCTACCGGGCACCCAAGAAATCAAAAGATCCCAAATCCCACAATAATGTGCTCATGAAATGTTCAAGGCCTACAGCATCACAGCCAAGACAGGAAGTCAAGATAAGAATTTTGGATCCTCATCTATCCCAGGATCACAGTAGCAATTCCAATAATTTGTGCCATGGGCAAGTGTTCCTGCAGTTTGGACAAGGGTAGGTAGACCTCTCACCAACTATTGCTCTCCATCACATAGGCAAGACGAGCAGCAGGTTTAGGGCGATGGCAAGGCATGCAACCTAGTACTGCCAATCAGAATTCAGCAAGGCTGCTCTTCGAACCATGTTGTATATCCAAGAATACTTACTGCATTAGGAGGTCTCTTCCCGGGATTCCCAGCCTCTCATCACACATTCGGCTCCGTTCTTCTTCGGCATCCAGGTCAATGACATGCATGGGTCGGCCAGAACCTACTGGCAAAATACAATGGTGTCAGCCCGGAAAACCAACTTTGCATTTTATGTAAACACCAAAGAAGGATTTTTAATGTCATACCTAAGGAAGCCAAACATAGTCATTCATTCTATCCGTCTATGATGAGGAGCGGCCCTCCTCGCCACAGCTAACATGATACACTTGACTTTATTCTTTTAATCCAATCAGACCCACTAATTCCCTCTAGAGGTCACCACAGGGTTAATAATTTGACTCCAAGGTCTCACCAGCCAGCTAGACTAGGAAGCCTTCAGCTGGAAGCCGTGTCTCACTGGGAGAGCGGCCCAGAGGTTTCCTAATGAAAGCCATGTGTTATAAGTGAGCCAACGGCTTCTGGTAACCCCGGATATTGTTACCTTGCCAACTTCTACACCCCCCTCTGCAGCTCCCCCAAACCACATGGTGACATCACTCTCTTCACACATCAGACGGAAGGCGCTCACGCCTCCTCGCACTCACACAATGCTTCCTGCCGGTGAAATCCACTCTGCAAATTCTGATTTACAGGTTGCTCTACGTAGCCATGGCATCCTGGCCCCCGGAACAGTTGGGTGTCCAAACTTCCATGTGCCAACCGAAGCATCATCCACCTGACACGTACTTCTTGGTAAAGCTGCCTTTAGAACATTCAGAGAGAGTCCATGAACAAAGAATGGATGTACACAGGTCCTTGAGGATGGATTAAAGTGTCCTATTCTGTCTATGGTTCCTGCTCCTGACCAAAAGGAAGTCACAATGGTGGTATCTGCCAACACCAATCATGTATACCACCACTTCCTCTTCCAGAATGGTCACGCCAAGCTTTCACGGTGGTGAACTTGCCTGCAGATGGTGGTCCAGGCAGATCGTAGAAGGTGGTCTTAGATATATGTGGTTTATAATGGATCAATGTCTATGGCAAAGACCAGAAGGTCTCAACCTTCAAAATGTCAACAGACTCTTGGCAACCTTCTGGAATCAGTGAAGACCACAATTTATTGAAGCTCTTTGGGGGAGATTTACTAAAACTGGAGCACTCAGAATCTGTGCATGGCGGCCAATCACCTCACTTCACCTTCTTTAAGTAAGCTATGACCATAAAACCTGGAAGCTGATTGGTTCGTATGCAGAGCTGCACCGGATTCGGTTTGAGAGAAGAACTCCCATTGTTTCTTAAGCTGCAGATGACGGTTTTCAAATACAACAATGCAAAATATAAAATATATTTCAGAAAGATTCTGCATAACTGCAAGCATTGCCCAGCTGGGTGTTTTTGGACCACTAGTGGTCCAGGCCGGTGTTTCTCAACCTTTATCAGTCATAGTACCATTGAAAACTACGCAAATTCTCGAGGTTTCCCATCACATCATAAGCCCCAACTTTCACATCAGAGTCCTTAGACCCACCTTTACACATCACTGTCCTCAGTTCCCCCTCCTTCTGTGCAGAACAGAGTCCTCAGTCCCCTTTCACCCAACCACGTCAGAGTGCTCAGACCCCCTTCACATTAGAGTCCTCAGCGCCTTCACCTCAGGGTCCTACAGTCCAATCGTCACCACAGAGTGACTGTGGCAGCAGGCTAAACTAGTGTAGATGGAGAACTTCCACCCCCTTCTGAATGCTGGGACAAGTGTTAATACCACCCACCATGGATTAGCCTCCTATTTCCATGGAGCTGTGACCTCATGCATGATGGTGCCTGGATGGTTCAAGGTGACGCCACTTGGCAGATCCTTGTAGATTCCTTTAAGGGTGGGATTCTGATAACCAAAATATAAAAGATATCTTCCCACTGACCCCCCAATGTAAGGGATATTCTTCCCAATGACCCCCAATGTAAGGGACATTCTTCCCACTGACCCCCCCAATGTAAGGGACATTCTTCCCACTGACCCCCCAATGTAAGGGACATTCTTCCCAATGACCCCCAATGTAAGGGACATTCTTCCCACTGACCCCCAATGTAAGGGACATTCTTCCCACTGACCCCCAATGTAACTGACATTCTTCCCACTGACCCCCAATGTAAGGGACATTCTTCCCACTGACCCCCCAATGTAAGGGACATTCTTCCCACTGACCCCCCAATGTAAGGGGCATTCGTCCTACTGACCCCCAATGTAAGGGGCATTCTTCCCACTGACCCCCAATGTAAGGGGCATCCTTCCCACTGATCCCCAATGTAAAGGAAATTCTTCCCACTGATCACCAATGTAAGGGACATTCTTCCCACTGACCCCCAATGTAAGGGACATTCTTCCTACTGACCCCCAATGTAAGGGACATTCTTCCCACTGACCCCCAATGTAAGGGACATTCTTCCCACTGATCACCAATGTAAGGGACATTCTTCCCACTAATCACCAATGTAAGGGACATTCTTCCCACTGACCACCAATGTAAGGGACATTCTTCCCACTGACCACCAATGTAAGGGACATTCTTCCCACTGACCCCCAATGTAAGGGACATTCTTCCCACTGACCCCCAATGTAAGGGACATTCTTCCCACTGACCCCCAATGTAAGGGACATTCTTCCCACTGACCACCAATGTAAGGGACATTCTTCCCACTGACCACCAATGTAAGGGACATTCTTCCCACTGACCACCAATGTAAGGGACATTCTTCCCACTGACCACCAATGTAAGGGACATTCTTCCCACTGACCACCAATGTAAGGGACATTCTTCCCACTGACCACCATTGTAAGGGACATTCTTCCCACTGACCCCCAATGTAAGGGACATTCTTCCCACTGACCACCAATGTAAGGGACATTCTTCCCACTGATCACCAATGTAAGGGACATTCTTCCCACTGACCCCCAATGTAAGGGACATTCTTCCCACTGACCCCCAATGTAAGGGACATTCTTCCCACTGACCACCAATGTAATGGACATTCCCACTGGGCTCCAGTGAATTTATTTTAGCAGAAGCTTCCTGACACCTGAAAGTTATTTGAAGGGTTCCTCTGGGGTAGAAAGGTTGTCAGAGTCTGCGTTAGACGGATGGGATATAGAACCCCAACATCCAGTGATGGGATATAGAACCCCAACATCCAGTGATGGGATATAGAACCCCAACATCCAGTGACTGCATCTGAACATGTATTGTAGAATCTAGCAGAGACATGGAGAGTATGGTAATCCTCATAACTTGAGGTTCTGCTCAGGGGGGGGACTGATAACTCATGGGGCCCTTGGGCAATAGGGGATCATGGGGCCCCTGTGTCCTCGCCCACACTCTAACCACACCCAAAGAAGCATATGAAAGGTACCACCAGGGGCATCTCATGGGGCCCCCTACTGACCCTGGGCCCTGGGGCATTGCCCGAGTTCCCCAATGGTCAGTCCGCCCCTGGTTCTGATACAACGGTGCTCAGGTTACTAAAACACTCTTGGAAATTCCCCGTAAAAAGCAATCATGGGTATTCAATACACACCTTTCTGTCCCATGTTATTCCTGTTTTGTCGACTTGACCCGGTCCCATAAGCTGACTCATGACGACCGCTGTTGTCTTTCTGCCGCGCTACAGCCACAGCGATGCCAACTGGCGGCTGCCGGACTTCGCCTTCCCCGTGAGAGGTCTCGTTCTCCCGACTCCTGGCACAATCCATCCTTTCTTGCTCGGGCTGGCACTTGTTGTTGCCGTGGAACTTGTTTTCTTGATGAGAGCAGCTGGTCTTCATGTTCCCCAAACCCACAAAGGGGGTCCGCTGCCCCACGATAAGTGCTTGGTTGCTGTATTTGAGCAGGTTTTTCATGGCGGACACCTCGTCTGTAGGCCCTTGCATCTCCTGGGTCAACGTGGGGCCAGGAGTCATGAGCGCGGCCTGTTGTAAACTTGTGCTGAAGGGATCTAGGTAAGAGTTCTTCCTGTCTTCACCGATGGAAATTGATGGCTCCGTCCACGGCGGCAGGTGAGGTCCGTTGTAGCCCAAGGAGCTGAGGTCGATGGTTTTCCTCTTTCCTTCTTGGTTGCCTCCCGTTTGCTCCCCTTCAGACGGCCGGTGCTGCTGGTGCCGTATCCGGGCCACTTTTTGGGAGCTGTGCACCTGGGAGTCCTTGATAGGCCTGTCTAAAGTGCAGCAGGACTGGCTAGTTTTTATGCAGTGGGAATCCTGGTTGTTGGGACGAGGACAGTCTTGGGAAGTCGGCATCTCTAAGTACGCAGCCTTTTCAATGCTCCTCTGCATAGCAGTCTCTGAACCTCCGCTATTTAAGAACTCCAAATTTTTGATCCTGACGGCTGTGTTCTGCGGCCATTCCAGCCTCCTCTCCCCTTTGGCCTCGGCCTTTAAGTGGGAGAATGTGTTCATGTAGGACCCAGAGGAGGGAGGGTGGGGGTCAGTGTTCATTTCGTGGCCCTTGTCCTTCCCTTCTCCTGCTCTGTCTAAATGGCAGCCCTCCGGGGTCACCTGAAAAGGCCGGCTTTTGTCGGTGAAGTGCCCCACGGAAGGCACAAATGTGGGCCTGCCCATCTTGAGCTCCCTGCCGGACTTATCCTGCAGGGAGCACACAACGTCCGAGTTGGAATGAAGCTGCAGACAGGGGAAGGAGCTGGTGGAGGTGTTCAGCGGGGCAGGAATGCTGGGGAGACTGGATGGGACAGTGTAGGACACAGAATGGTGAAGCATTTGCCTCCTCTCTAGGCACTCGCTGTAAGGTTGCTGAGGCTCGTGTTGGGGATACGATCGGTCCGACCTCATGACTTCTTTGGCACATCGATTCTGGCCACCTTGGCGAGGCATTCCTGCCCCAACGGTGCAGCTCGACAACAACGCTTTGCTGGGGTCCCCATTTAGCACCTTTGAGGTCATCAGGCAAGAATTTAAATGCTTGGTCCTGTTCTCACACGATCCTCTCTGATGCATGTCCTCCTTGCAGTGGCTGTCCATGGTCATGGGCAGCACCGCCTTCTGCCTTTCCTTGCCTTCGTCCTCCAAGTGCCGATCTTTCAGGTCCCCTTTGCCCACCTTGTCCTTGTTCATGTCCCCCATATATCGGTCATTGTCCTTCGAGCCCTTATGGAGGTGGCTGTTCTCTCGGTCCCGACTGCAGGAGCCAATGGGGTGGCCCGGAGCAGCCCGGGCGATGCTGGGGAAGTTGTGGTTGGCCGACAGGAGCGTGGGTTGTGGTGGGAGATTCCGCAAATAGAAGTTATCTGGAATGAAAGAAAAAGATAATTACATGCAGGAAATAATTGTAACATTTGTAGAACAACGAATGGCGCGCTCTATAGATACATGATCACCAAAAGTGGGCGGGGTCACGCTCGATGTCACGCGGAACGTTCACAGGTGCATTCGTTCAGCAGCTTGTAGAACCGGCACCACCAATCATTCTGACACCGGATAGGCTGGGGTCACCTCATTCTCATCAACCGCTCAGACTTCCCTGGTTGGCGCCAATGTTTGCCTGCCTTCGCGGTTTACACCTCCCTACGTTCCCACGCACGTTTTTGTGTGCGTTTTGTAGCGTTTCCACCCACTGTGCATAGAGCAGCCCGGCCACGTGATTGGGCAGCCCCATGAGCGGCAAACACCCCAGGGAGCCTCCAAAACCTTGCTTGGATTAGAATGTAGTGGACGAAAAAATGAACAGATGAAAAACGGGCAAACGAAAGATGGACGAAGGACAGGTGAGCGAAGGACAGGTGAGCGAAGGACAGGTGAGCGAAGGACAGGTGAACGAAGGACAGGTGAACGAAGGACAGGTGAGCGAAGGACAGGTGAGCGAAGGACAGGTGAACGAAGGACTGGTCAACGAAGGACAGGTGAACGAAGAACAGGTGAGCGAAGGACAGGTGAGCGAAGGACAGTTGAACGAAGGACAGGTGAACGAAGGACAGGTGAACGAAGGACAGGTGAACGAAGGACAGGTGAACGAAGGACAGGTGAGCGAAGGACAGGTGAGCGAAGGACAGGTGAACGAAGGACAGGTGAGCGAAGGACAGGTGAGCGAAGGACAGGTGAACGAAGGACAGGTGAACGAAGGACAGGTGAGCGAAGGACAGGTGAGCGAAGGACAGGTGAACGAAGGACAGGTGAGCGAAGGACAGGTGAGCGAAGGACAGGTGAGCGAAGGACTGGTGAACGAAGGACAGGTGAACGAAGGACAGGTGAACGAAGGACTGGTGAACGAAGGACTGGTGAACGAAGGACAGGTGAGCGAAGGACAGGTGAACAAAAGACAGGAGAACAAAGGACAGGAGAACAAAGGACAGGAGAACAAAGGACAGGAGAACGAAGGACAGGTGAACGAAGGACAGGTGAGCGAAGGACAGGTGAACGAAGGACAGGTGAGCGAAGGACAGGTGAACGAAGGACTGGTGAGCGAAGGACAGGTGAGCGAAGAACAGGTGAACGAAGGACAGATGAAAGAAAGGACGGATGGAAGGATGAAAAGCAGCTGAATGAAAAACAGATGAAAGAATGAAAAATGGATGAAAAATGGGCCCCCATGTATTTCTATGGACTAGTGGATGTAACGGACGGATGAAAACCGGGCGACCGAAAGATGGACAAAGGACAGGTGAGCGAAGGACAGGTGAGCAAAGGATGGACGAACGATCGAACAACGGATGAAAAACTGCCGTAAATGGACAGAATCATGGGACCTGCCGATGAAGATTGGTTCCTCTATCTCTGCAAGAAGCGGGAAGGACTTTGCTGACAACATGCTTTTTTTTTCAGGTCAATGACTATCTAGGTAGTGAAGCCAGAAGTGGGATGGCGGCCCGTTTTTATCTCCTCGGATTATCTTAGATATTTGTTTTAGTGATCAGAATGCAGTTAACTGCAGGAGTATAAAAATAAAGAAAAAAAAAAGCAGCAAAAAAAAAAAAAAATTAAAAATGACAAATATATATATTTTATTATTACTATTTATTATTATTATTATTATTGTTGTTAATAATAATAAATAATAGTAATAATAATAATAATAATAAATAGTAATAATAATAATAATAATAATAATAATAATAAATAATAGTAATAATAATAATAATAATAATAATAATAAAAAGTAATAATAATAATAATAATAATAATAATAATAAAAAGTAATAATAATAATAATAATAATAATAATAATAAAAAGTAATAATAATAATAATAATAATAATAATAATAATAATAATAATAATAAATAGTAATAATAATAAATAAGAGTAATAATAATAATAATAATAATAATAATATTAATAAATAGTAATAATAATAATAATAATAAAAGTAATAATAATAATAATAATAATAATAATAAATAGTAATAATAATAAATAAGAGTAATAATAATAATAATACTACAAAACGCTGTGTTCCTGGTCAGTATTTTATGCGTGTGCGTTTGTAAATCCCGCCTCCCTCTTGTTGCGCTCTGTGAACCACACTTGCGTTTTTTTGCGCAGGATCCCTCCGGTGTTCATACGTCAGTTCCGTGCCGCAGGACCCCGCAGCTCTGTTCACACCGATCGCGGGTGCGTCCCCTCGTGTCATGCGTAGGACAGTCTATTAATTTCTAATGGCTGCCCTTTAGCACAAAAAAAAAGCCCAGCAAAGAAATTCCTGACTTTTCAAAAAACGCGCCGCGCTGAACTGCGTGAAAAGCGCACATTTGCAGAGGCGTGGGGGTTGCATGAATTAACTGCGCGGCTGCTAAACGGCGGTGCGTTTCTGTGCGCATCGGGGAAGCGCGTGAATTTGTGCGCATTCACGACACGCAGCGGGGTGCCGCCCGACGCTGGCCATACATTCGTGGCGAATTGGCGGGAACATTCGTAGGCGAATCCTTTGTACATTCGATGACCGGATGAATGTCGTTGGAAATCTTCACCCGCGTTTAACATTAACGAATGGAATTCCCGGATGAAAACCGCAAAATTTGGCGTCCCGCTCCTTTTCATTTTCCTGCCGCTGTGGTCGAAAGCGAATGTCGATTTGCCCCGCCCCCCCAAAGATTAGAAAACCGAACAAACGTTTCCAAAGCCAGAATTAGATGGAAGGAAAGTCGATGGAAATCTGATCCGTTGTTTCTGTTTATTTGTTGTTGTTTTATTTTTGTTTCCTCGCCGGATTTGGCGGTTTGTTTGTAGAAAATGACGCAGATGGCGGGGGATGCGTCTGGCCGCTGTCCTCCGGCTCGGGGGAAGGGGGGGGCGCAGCGCAGTACTCTGGCCTGCCACTTCCACAGATCAGATCAAAGCCACAATATTGTGAAAGCTGAGAGGCCATTAGTGGAGGTCTCTGTCAGTGCCGGAGCGCAGGGGGCGGAGCCAGTCTCCCAGAAACTGGGGGGGGGGCACTGCTTGGATTTCACTCCTTGGGGGGGGGGGGCACTGCTTGGATTTCACTCCTTGGGGGGGGGGGGGCACTGCTAGGATTTCACTCCTTGGGGGGGGCCACTCACCACCTGTGTCCCCAGACAGTCAAATTACGACATTTAATGGAGACAAGTCGTGAGCCGCAGCCGGCAGGCGATCGCTCGGTTGGCACGGGTGAAGGAGGCGGCTCGGGGGAGCACCCCCCGCGGGGACGAGGCATCACTAGAATACGACCCCAAGAGACACGCAGCAGTTCGCTCGCTCGGGAAAGCGATTTTTTTTCCTGTCCATCAGCCTCGCGATTAACGCCGAATTCATCCCGGAGTCGGCCATGTTTATTAGTCATCAGCGGCCCGACTTCAGGCAGCAACACGAGCGATCAATCTCTGCACGAGCGTCAGAGTTTCAGAAAAAAAAAACGCATCATAATGGAAGATTTTCCACTGCCGACTACTCCGCAATGGCAACTGAACTGCAGCTGTCCAACTGGCGACTGTCCTGTCCCTGCAGCTCCACGACGTGCGCTCTGCACCCGCAGCAGATTGTGGTGACTTCGTTTCCACAGCGACGGAGCGCATGCATGTTTTCACGCATCGCATGCAGGGCAGCCCATTTATTTCAATGTGCGAGAAACCTGCGAAAGAAGTCCTGGACCCCTCTGCAAAAAAAACTGTTCCATCAAAACGCACGGCGCCGCAGCACTAGTAGATATCGACAATTAAAGGGACCACCGCATGTGTGGGCTTCAGGTGCGACTTACATCGACCTCTGTGTCTTGTAGCTGCAGATGTCTTGCAAGTCGCACCGCAAGTCGGAACAACATCCAACTATGAAATTGTGCGACTTCACTGGAAGTGAAAAGAACCGAAAGGGCCACTAGGGGTGCCCTCCCGCTCCGTGGAATGTGCCACTAGGGGTGCCCTCCCGCTCCGTGGAATGTGCCACTAGGGGTGCCCTCCCGCTCCTTGGAATGTGCCACTAGGGGTGCCCTCCCGCTCCGTGGAATGTGCCACTAGGGGTGCCCTCCCGCTCCGTGGAATGTGCCACTAGGGGTGCCCTCCCGCTCCGTGGAATGTGCCACTAGGGGCGCCCTCCCGCTCCGTGGAATGTGCCACTAGGGGTGCCCTCCCGCTCTCTAGAATGTGCCACTAGGGGCGCCCTCCCGCTCTCTGGAATGTGCCACTAGGGGGTGCCCTCCCGCTCTCTGGAATGTGCCACTAGGGGTGCCCTCCCGCTCTCTGGAATGTGCCACTAGGGGTGCCCTCCCGCTCTCTGGAATGTGCCACTATGGGTGCCCTCCCGCTCCGTGGAATGTGCCACTAGGGGCGCCCTCCCGCTCTCTCTGGAATGTGCCACTAGGGGTGCCCTCCCGCTCTCTGGAATGTGCCACTAGGGGTGCCCTCCCGCTCCGTGGAATGTGCCACTAGGGGTGCCCTCCCGCTCCGTGGAATGTGCCACTAGGGGTGCCCTCCCGCTCCGTGGAATGTGCCACTAGGGGTGCCCTCCCGCTCCGTGGAATGTGCCACTAGGGGCGCCCTCCCGCTCCGTGGAATGTGCCACTAGGGGCGCCCTCCCGCTCTCTGGAATGTGCCACTAGGGGTGCCCTCCCGCTCTCTGGAATGTGCCACTAGGGGTGCCCTCCCGCTCTCTGGAATGTGCCACTAGGGGTGCCCTCCCGCTCTCTGGAATGTGCCACTATGGGTGCCCTCCCGCTCCGTGGAATGTGCCACTAGGGGCGCCCTCCCGCTCTCTGGAATGTGCCACTAGGGGTGCCCTCCCGCTCTCTGGAATGTGCCACTAGGGGTGCCCTCCCGCTCTCTGGAATGTGCCACTATGGGTGCCCTCCCGCTCCGTGGAATGTGCCACTAGGGCGCCCTCCCGCTCTCTGGAATGTGCCACTAGGGGTGCCCTCCCGCTCCGTGGAATGTGCCACTAGGGGCGCCCTCCCGCTCCGTGGAATGTGCCACTAGGGGTGCCCTCCCGCTCTCTAGAATGTGCCACTAGGGGCGCCCTCCCGCTCTCTGGAATGTGCCACTAGGGGTGCCCTCCCGCTCTCTGGAATGTGCCACTAGGGGTGCCCTCCCGCTCTCTGGAATGTGCCACTAGGGGTGCCCTCCCGCTCTCTGGAATGTGCCACTAGGGGTGCCCTCCCGCTCTCTGGAATGTGCCACTAGGGGTGCCCTCCCGCTCTCTGGAATGTGCCACTAGGGGTGCCCTCCCGCTCTCTGGAATGTGCCACTATGGGTGCCCTCCCGCTCCGTGGAATGTGCCACTAGGGGCGCCCTCCCGCTCTCTGGAATGTGCCACTAGGGGTGCCCTCCTGCTCTCTGGAATGTGCCACTAGGGGTGCCCTCCCGCTCTCTGGAATGTGCCACTATGGGTGCCCTCCCGCTCTCTGGAATGTGCCACTAGGGGTGCCCTCCCGCTCTCTGGAAATGTGCCACTAGGGGTGCCCTCCCGCTCTCTGGAATGTGCCACTATGGGTGCCCTCCCGCTCCGTGGAATGTGCCACTAGGGGCGCCCTCCCGCTCTCTGGAATGTGCCACTAGGGGTGCCCTCCTGCTCTCTGGAATGTGCCACTATGGGTGCCCTCCCGCTCCGTGGAATGTGCCACTAGGGGGCGCCCTCCCGCTCTCTGGAATGTGCCACTAGGGGTGCCCTCCTGCTCTCTGGAATGTGCCACTAGGGGTGCCCTCCCGCTCTCTGGAATGTGCCACTATGGGTGCCCTCCCGCTCTCTGGAATGTGCCACTAGGGGTGCCCTCCCGCTCTCTGGAATGTGCCACTAGGGGTGCCCTCCCGCTCTCTGGAATGTGCCACTATGGGTGCCCTCCCGCTCCGTGGAATGTGCCACTAGGGGCGCCCTCCCGCTCTCTGGAATGTGCCACTAGGGGTGCCCTCCTGCTCTCTGGAATGTGCCACTATGGGTGCCCTCCCGCTCCGTGGAATGTGCCACTAGGGGCGCCCTCCCGCTCTGTGGAATGTGCCACTAGGGGTGCCCTCCCGCTCCGTGGAATGTGCCACTAGGGGCGCTCTCCCGCTCCGTGGAATGTGCCACTAGGGGTGCCCTCCCGCTCTCTGGAATGTGCCACTAGGGGTGCCCTCCCGCTCTGTGGAATGTGCCACTAGGGGCTCCCTCCCACTCCGTGGAATGTGCCACTAGGGGCGCGCCCTCCCGCTCCGTGGAATGTGCCACTAGGGGTGCCCTCCCTCTCCATGGAATGTGCCACTAGGGGTGCCCTCCCGCTCTCTGGAATGTGCCACTAGGGGGCGCCCTCCCGCTCCGTAGAATGTGCCACTAGGGGTGCCCTCCCGCTCCGTAGAATGTGCCACTAGGGGCGCCCTCTCGCTCCGTGGAATGTGCCACTAGGGGCGCCCTCCCGCTCCGTGGAATGTGCCACTAGGGGTGCCCTCCCGCTCCGTGGAATGTGCCACTAGGGGCGCCCTCCCGCTCCGTGGAATGTGCCACTAGGGGCGCCCTCCCGCTCCGTGGAATGTGCCACTAGGGGCGCCCTCCCGCTCCGTGGAATGTGCCACTATGGGTGCCCTCCCGCTCTCTGGAATGTGCCACTAGGGGCGCCCTCCCGCTCCGTGGAATGTGCCACTAGGGGCGCCCTCCCGCTCCGTGGAATGTGCCACTAGGGGCTCCCTCCCGCTCCGTGGAATGTGCCACTAGGGGCGCCCTCCCGCTCCGTGGAATGTGCCACTAGGGGCACCCTCCCGCTCCGTGGAATGTGCCACTAGGGGTGCCCTCCCGCTCTGTGGAATGTGCCACTAGGGGCACCCTCCCGCTCCGTGGAATGTGCCACTAGGGCGCCCTCCCGCTCTCTGGAATGTGCCACTAGGGGTGCCCTCCCGCTCTGTGGAATGTGCCACTAGGGGCACCCTCCCGCTCCGTGGAATGTGCCACTAGGGGCGCCCTCCCGCTCTCTGGAATGTGCCACTAGGGGCGCCCTCCCGCTCTCTGGAATGTGTCACTAGGGGTGCCCTCCCTCTCTCTGGAATGTGCCACTAGGGGTGCCCTCCCGCTCTCTGGAATGTGCCACTAGAGGAGCCCTCCCGCTCTGTGGAATGTGCCACTAGGGGCGCCCTCCCGCTCTGTGGAATGTGCGACTAGGGGTGCCCTCCCGCTCCGTGGAATGTGCCACTAGGGGCGCCCTCCCGCTCCGTGGAATGTGCCACTAGGGGCGCCCTCTCGCTCTCTGGAATGTGCCACTAAGGGCGCCCTCCCGCTCTCTGGAATGTGCCACTAGGGGCGCCCTCCCACTCCACGGAATGTGCCACTAGGGGCGCCCTCTCGCTCTCTGGAATGTGCCACTAGGGGCACCCTCCCACTCCACGGAATGTGCCACTAGGGGCGCCCTCCCGCTCCTTGGAATGTGCCACTAGGGGCGCCCTCCCACTCCTTGGAATGTGCCACTAGGGGCACCCTCCCACTCCACGGAATGTGCCACTAGGGGCGCCCTCCCGCTCCTTGGAATGTGCCACTAGGGGCGCCCTCCCACTCCTTGGAATGTGCCACTAGGGGCGCCCTCCTGCTCCATGGAATGTGCCCCCCCTCCCCATAAGACTCACCTTTTTGGGATTCGTAGAAGCGGTGCTGTCCGTACAGAACATTGCCGTTCCCGTGGTCCAAGTGGCTCATGGGTAGGAAGGTGGAGAAGCGGGGATAACCTGGGAGACAAAGAGGCAAGAATTAGGAATGAGGTTTCAGAAGAATGTCACAGAAAATTCCTGGAAATAAATGACAACAAAACGCATCACACAGACACGGGGGGGGGGCTTACTGTAAGGGCACACCGCTGCGATTTGGGAATTGAAATTGCATCTAATGGATGTGAATGTCGGCGCCCTGACACGTGCGATTTGCTGTGGCGTGATGTTTAAAGTCGTTCGTGTGACTTTTCTGCCGTTTTGTTGCGATTTCAGACATAGAATATCATGGAGATCGCACCGCAAATCGCAAGAAATCGTTTAAAATCTTCACAAGTTGCAATAAAGTCTTCAGAAAATCGCACACAAATCACGCGATTTTAAATCGCAGAGGCGTGACCGGCGACTAAGCCCCCCGGCGACTAAGCCCCCCAGTCACATCAAAGCCGATTTTGAAATCGTGCGAATTACAGTGAAGTCAGGTGACGCGCCGATTTCAGGTGCGATTTGTAAGACGTCCGACACCGACGTCTAAGCAAACTGCACCAAAAGTCGCGCATGTGCTACTATAGAAATCGGTGCGGTTCCGACCCAGATAGAACCGCGCTGATATGACCGCTCCGACCCAGATAGAACCGCGCCGATATGACCGCTCCAACCAAGACAGAACCGCGCTGATATGACCGCTCCAACCCAGACAGAACCGCGCCGATATGACCGCTCCAACCAAGACAGAACCGCGCTGATATGACCGCTCCAACCCAGACAGAACCGCGCCGATATGACCGCTCCAACCAAGACAGAACCGCGCTGATATGACCGCTCCAACCAAGACAGAACCGAGCTGATATGACTGCTCCGACCCAGACAGAACCGCGCTGATATGACCGTTCTGACCAAGACAGAACCATGCTGATATGATCGCTCCAACCCAGACAGAACCGCTCTGATATGACCGCTCCGACCCAGACAGAACCGCGCTGATATGATCGCTCCAACCAAGACAGAACCGCGCTGATATGATCGCTCTGACCCAGACAGAACCGCACTGATATGACCGCTCCGACCCAGAGAGAACCGCGCTGATATGACCGCTCCGTCCAAGACAGAAACGCGCTGATATGATCGCTCCGACCAAGACAGAACCGCGCCGATATGATCGCTCCGACCCAGACAGAACCGCGCTTATATGATCGCTCCGACCAAGACAGAACCGCGCCAATATGATCGCTCCAACCAAGACAACAGAACCGCGCTGATATGATCGCTCCGACCCAGACAGAACCGCACTAATATGACCGCTCCGACCCAGACAGAACCGCGCTGATATGATCGCTCCGACCAAGACAGAACCGCGCTTATATGATCGCTCCGACCAAGACAGAACCGCGCCGATATGATCACTCCGAACAAGACAGAACAGCGCCAATATGATCGCTCCAACCCAGACAGAACCGCACTGATATGACCGCTCCGACCCAGACAGAACCGCGCTGATATGATCGCTCTAACAGCGGACAATAGGGTGCGACTTGGCATATGATTTGCAAGTCGCATGCAAATCACATGCCAAGTTGCACCCGATGAGACTGGGGTGTAAAACTGGAGCAATCAGTGCATGGCAACCAATCAGCTTCTACCGTGCCTTAGTTATATACATATATGATGGTACACACGCACATATATGATGGTATACACACAATGGTACATACATACATATACACATTTTATAGGATGTGAGGATTTCCATTCCTCGGTTGGATACGTTTTACATATTTAGGGATTTTGCACAAATTGCCGCATTTCTACTGATCCGCAGCTTTCATTGGGTCGGTACACACAGGCACAGTAGGGCTCTGTCCAGGTGGGGGCGCTGACACCCATCCTGCATGCAGTCTGCCTGTGTGATTGCGCATGCACCTGACCCATCCTGCATGGGGGGTCCTGTGGGAGGCTGGAGAACATTGAGGGGACTAGGGGGCGCTGTGGGAGGCTGGAGAACATTGAGGGGACTAGGTGGCGCTGTGGGAGGCTGGAGAACATTGAGGGGACTAGGGGGCGCTGTGGGAGGCTGGAGAACATTGAGGGGACTAGGGGGCGCTGTGGGAGGCTGGAGAACATTGAGGGGACTAGGGGGCGCTGTGGGAGGCTGGAGAACATTGAGGGGACTAGGGGGCGCTGTGGGAGGCTGGAGAACATTGAGGGGACTAGGTGGCGCTGTGGGAGGCTGGAGAACATTGAGGGGACTAGGGGGCGCTGTGGGAGGCTGGAGAACATTGGAGGGGACTAAAGGGTGCTGTATGAGGCTGGAGAGGATTGAGGGAGACTAGGGGCCGCTGAGGGAGGCTGGAGGGGCACTGTAGAAAGCTGGGGGGCACTGAGAGGATTGGGGGGCTCTGTGGGAGGCTGGGGGGTGCTGTGAGGGGACTGGAATGCTGGAGGGCCCTGAGGGAGACTAGGGGCCACTGAGGGAGACTAGGGGTGCTGTGGGAGGTTGGAGGGCATTGAGAGGGACTAGGGGCCACTGAGGGAGACTAGAGTCCACTAAGGGAATCTAGGGGCTACTGAGGGAGACTGGGGGTGCTGCGGGAGGCTGGAGAGCACTGAGGGGGACCAGGGGGGCACTGAGGGAATCTAGGGGCCACTGAGAGAATAGGGGCCACTGAGGGAGACTGGGGGTGCTGTGAGAGGCTGGAGAGCACTGAGGGGTCTAGGAAGCCCTGTGGGAGGGAATGTGGTGTTGGGCTCCTGGGGGCCGGGGGGCCACAGTCCAGTGACCATCGCTCAAGCAAGGCTTTTATTGGATGAATGGGGACCCATATCGTCAATTGAAGCCAAAAACACAAGAAAAGCTCCAATCGGATTGGCTGACAGTCTACAAGACTTCGGCTTCTTAGCTGCGTCACATGACAGCCGACACATTTCAGGGGAAACACCTCATCAGGGCAATGAGAACAAAAAAAAGGTATAAATATTGCAACAAGAATGAGACATTTTGGATACAAAGTAATAATAAACGGATGAAGTGATATCCTGCGGAGATCGATGACAACACACGGCTCCATATGACGCACCTCGGGGTCACTATAACGTGCGTCTGTATTGTGCGTCCCAATGAAAAGGCTGCGACGTTACAGCCGCTCGCAACGCATGTAAAACGCACTAAAAGCGATATATGCATTTTAATTAGCGTGTCTTTGAGTCACATGTCCATATTTCCGACAGACAACCTGCAGAGTAGAGAGAAGAAAAGAAAGAAAAACAGGAGACGCCCCACGTTGTCACATGTCACATGGAACGCAGAAATAAAGCTGAAAAAAATCGCTGACGCTTCAAGGAACACGCATGCGGTGTCACAGCGGTGCGATTTGGGGACTGAAGTCACACCAAAATCGCATCTAATGAACGTGAATGTCGGCGTCCTGACACGTGTGATTTGCTGCGGCGTGATTTGTAAAGTCGTTCTCGCGTGACGTTTTCTGCAGTTTTGTTGCGATTTTCACAAACAAAGAATAGAATGGAAGTCGCTCCGCAAATCGCAAGAAATCATTGAAAATCTTCACAAATCGCAGAGGGGAGTGCGTTGTGTTTTTACCACTGAATACACACACACGTGTATATATGTATGTATGTGTGTGTATGTACGTATGTATGTGTGTGTGTGTAAGTATGTATGTGTGTGTGTGTATGTACAGTATGTATGTGTATGTAAATGTGTGTGTGTATCTATGTGTGTGAGTATGTATGTGTATGTATGTATGTATGTATGTATGTATATGTGAATGTATGTGTGTGGGTATGTATGTGTATGTATGTATGTATATGTGAATGTATGTGTGTGAGTATGTATGTGTATGTATGTATGTACGTGTGTATATGTATGTGTGTGTATGTATGTGTATGTATGTATGTACGTGTGTATATGTATGTGTGTGTGTGTGTGTGTGTATATATGTATGTACGTGTGTATATGTATGTACGTGTGTATATGTATGTGTGTGTGTGTATATGTATGTGTGTGTATATGTATGTGTGTGTATATGTATGTGTGTGTGTATATGTATATGTATGTGTGTGTGTATGTATTTGTATGTATGTATGTAAGTATGTGTATGTATATATATGTGTGTGTGTGTCATTCACACGAGACGCTGCACTGCAATCCAGCATCTGGTGCACGATGCGCTCTGGACACACCAGCACAGTATTGATGCGCCGATACCAGTTTTTTAAACAAACTTTATTGAAATGTCGCACAGTAACAATTCTTAGCGTTCTCTCAGCCTGCGTGCCGCGACCCGCGCTGGAAGGGAGTACAGCCTACGGCTCAGCCATGGCGGGTCCTCTTTAAGCCGCAGCTCCCCCCGCAGGATAGTCGGGCCCCTGCAGCTCAGGCGGCACTGAAGGGAGCTGTGGGAGTGTGAAGGACAACAGCTGCACCTCGAAATAAAAAAAGTCAGCGTTTCTCCTCCCAGGAAGAATGGCGGGATCGCAGCGGACGCAGCGCCATGCAGCTGTGCTTCAAGAATTCCCAGGGCGAGAGGGGCAGAGGAGCCCCGGGTACACGGAGTACTGACACTTGGAAGCCCCAGCCAGGGGCCGAGGCGGCTTCATTCAAGGCCAGGAGCACACAACAATCCATTGTGAGAGGTGGGGGGGGATGGGGGGGTACAATGCAGACAGCCTGAAGGAACAGTCCGCACAGTCTGTGTATAAGCTGAAGTTTAGTCTGCTTCATTTCCACCCCCCCCCCCCCCCCCGAATCAAGTGACATCACTGGGTCTCTGTGCATCTCTATGTAATGCAGGCAGATCAAGGCAGGTGGGAGAGGCCCTGCCTCAGTACTCCTCAGTGTGAGGAATTATGCAAATATCACAATGCCTTGATGGGTGGGTGTCAGTCTGGAGTGGGCGTTCCTAGGCAGGATGTATTTGCATAGGTAATGCCCATATGTGATGCTGAGCCTATATGATTGGATGAACTGAAATCCAATGAAAGAGGCGGGGCCAGGGAAAGCCAGGCTGGGGAAGAAAGAGCTAGATGATGCTGGACATCCCCGGCCAGGAAATGAGGCGGAGCTCTGACTGGCTGCAGCTTCTAATGCACATTGTGAGGAGCTCCCAGTGTGCAGTAACATCAGAGGAAGCCATTCCAGTCCAGGGGAGGAGCCGGTACACCTGTGCAAGACTGGAGGGGAGGAGCCGGTACACCTGTGCAAGACTGAAGGGGAGGAGCCGGTACACCTGTGCAAGACTGAAGGGGAGGAGCCGGTACATCTGTGCAAGACTGAAGGGGAGGAGCCGGTACACCTGTGCAAAACTGAAGAGGAGGAGCCGGTACACCTGTGCAAGACTGGAGGGGAGGAGCCGGTACACACCTGTGCAAGACTGAAGAGGAGGAGCCAGTACACCTGTGCAAGACTGAATGGGAGGAGCCGGTACACCTGTGCAAGACTGGAGGGGGAGGAGCCGGAACACCTGTGCAACACTGGAGGGGAGGAGCCGGTACACCTGTGCAAGACTGGAGGGGGAGGAGCCGGTACACCTGTGCAAGATTGGAGGGGAGGAGCCGGTACACCTGTGCAAGACTGGAGGGGAGGAGCCGGAACAGCTGTGCAAGACTGGAGGGGAGGAGCCGGAACAGCTGTGCAAGACTGGAGGGGAGGAGCCGGTACATCTGTGCAAGACTGGAGGGGAGGAGCCGGTACATCTGTGCAAGACTGGAGGGGGAGGAGCCGGTACACCTGTGCAAGACTGGAGGGGAGGAGCCGGTACGCCTGTGCAAGACTGGAGGGGAGGAGCGCTTCCTCCTCCTCCTACAAAGTTACAATGTACAGTCTGATCACTGGGGGAGGGGAGACTGAGGAAATGACTCCTCCCCCACCTACAGAGTTACAATGTACAGTCTGATCACTGGGGGAGGAGACAAAGAAAGTGCTTCCTCTTGCCTGCAGCAGACTGATGACATCATCTCAGCCTAGGCAGAGTCACTGAGTGGAGCTCATGGATGTGGCGATGTATAGGGGACATATCAGGTAATTACTGACAGGTCCACTTTGAGGGGGGGCGGGGGGGTGGGGCATTCTTCTGGCACTGTGTTTTATTATCTGTCCAGTAGAGGACGCTGCAGGTAAATTTTCGGTTTATAAATATATAAAAGTATAACTAGAAACACAAATAAATAAAATAAATACAAAGATATAAATAGAGAGGAAGGATCCGCCCGCGGTCAGCGTGATGACGTCACCTAAATATAAATATAAGGAAATACTAAGTATAAATTAGAGAGGATGGATCCGCCCCGCGAGAAGTCAGTCGTTATGACGTCACCCGGTCAGCTAATGATGATGAAATATGAATCACGCGCCCGCGATGGCTCTGACAGTTCTAGATCTGGCGCTCCCGTACGGTCCTCGGAGATTTCATCCATGTTTTCTCCCACGTTAGCCTTCATTTATAAGCGCCACGCAATTCCTGTGACGCGTCTTTATGGCTTTCATCGGAACCCCGAAGTGCCGCGTCTCACCGCTGCGCCGGCCCAGGCACTAAGGGGTTACCTGGGGGGGGGGGGGGGGGGTACTGGAGGAATTCTCATTCTTTGCAAGTTTAATTAAATTTTTTTTTCCAAGGCCTGAGACAGGAGGGGGGTGGGGATGTGTGGGGGGGGGGGGGGCGGTATTAAGCAGAGAGGCATGAAGGATGGCGGGGGAGGGCACAGCTGATGAAAATAATAAAAAAATATATGGCTGTTGATGCCCCTCCTCCGCCAAGAGAAGGCCACATCCAGGAGACCACGCCCCTCCCTTCCAGGACATCAAGGCCGCACATCAGCACATTTGGGACTGAACGGCCGGCGCATGCCCCCCCCCCCCCCCCCCATTTATAGCATCGGAACCTCCATTGCTGAGCTCATTGCCCCCCCCAAAGGTGAACCCGATGCTCACCTGATCATGGCTGGGACTGGTGGCTCCTGACAGTGGATTTAGTATTTTGCCACTTCCTGTTACAGGGTGACAACACTGATCACTCTGCAGCGAAATTGCACATCAGTGTTGTCACCCTGCCAGAGTGAGACTTCAATGGATATAAAGTTTTTTAAAGGGAATTTTACGTAGAAGTGAGGGCAGAACTTGAGGGGGGGGGGGTGGGGGGGGGGGGTTATAACCTCTGTTAAGTTTTTGTTTTACCATCTGTGTTCCATTGAGAAGATTTCTTTTCACTTCCTGTCCCATCACCGAAACAGGAAGTGAGAGGAAAAGAGGAAACTTTCAAAGTGAGGAAATCCCGAGAAGAACCAGAACCTCCCCCATTGGAAGATGAAGAGACTAAATTCTGTGTACAGCTATTATTATGTATTACCTTCATGTCCACTGCGAGTTCCAACACAACAAATGTACATATATATACACATCATACACTGTATTCCCCCCCATATCATGTGATTCAGGTGCTCCAATCCCCCCATATCATGTGATTCAGGTGTTCCAATCCCCTCCATATCATGTGATTCAGGTGTTCCAATCCCCTCCCAGTCATGTGATTCAGGTGTCCCCACCCCTCCCAAACATGTGATTCAGGTGTCCCCACCCCCCCTCCATATCATGTGATTCAGGTGTTCCAATCCCTTCCATATAATGTGATTCAGGTGTCCCCACCCCCTCCCAAACATGTGATTCAGGTGTCCCCACCCCCTCCATATCATGTGATTCAGGTGTTCCAATCCCTCCATATAATGTGATTCAGGTGTTCCAATCCCCTCCATATCATGTGATTCAGGTGTTCCAATCCCCTCCATATCATGTGATTCAGGTGTTCCAATCCCCCCCCATCATGTGATTCAGGTGTTCCAATCCCCCCAATCATGTGATTCAGGTGTTCCAATCCCCTCCCAATCCAGTGATTCAGGCGTTCCAATCCCCCCCATATCATGTGATTCAGGTGTTCCAATCCCCTCCATATCATGTGATTCAGGTGTTCCAATCCCCTCCATATCATGTGATTCAGGTGTTCCAATCCCCCCCCTATCATGTGATTCAGGTGTTCCAATCCCCTCCCAATCATGTGATTCAGGTGTTCCAATCCCCCCCCATATTATGTGATTCAGGTGTTCCAATCCCCTCCATATCATGTGATTCAGGTGTTCCAATCCCCTCCATGGACACAGGTGTATACAATCACGCCCCTAGGCATGCAGACGGCTTCTACAAACATTGGTGAAAGAATGGGTCGCTCTCAGGAGCTCAGTAACTCCAAGCGTGGTCCCGTGATAGGTGGCCACCTGGGCAATAAGTCCATCCGTGACATTTCCTGGCTACTAAATATTCCACGCTCAACTGTTAGTGGGATTATAACAAAGTGGAAGCCACTGGGAACAACAGCCACTCAGCCACCAAGTGGTAGGCCACGTCACATGACAGGGCGGGGTCAGCGCATGCTGAAGCGCACAGTGCGCAGAAGTCGCCAACTGTCTGCAGAGTCAATAGCTAAAGACCTCCAAACTTGGTGTGGCCTTCAGATGAGCCCAACAACAGTGCGTAGAGAGCTTCATGGAATGGGTTTCCATGGCCGAGCAGCTGCATCCAAGCCTTCCATCACCAAGTGCAATGCAAAGTGTCGGATGCCGTGGTGTAAAGCATGCCGCCACTGGACTCTAGAGCAGAGGAGACGTGTTCTCTGGAGGGACCAATCACGCTTCTCTGTCTGGCCATCCGATGGACATGTCTGGGTTTGGCGGTGGCCAGGAGAACGGTACTTGCCTGACTGCATTGTGCCAAGTGTAACGTTTGGTGGAGGGGGGATTATGGTGTGGGGTGTTTTTCAGGGGGTGGGCTTGGCCCCCTAGTTCCAGTGAAGGGAACTCTTAAGGTGACATGTTGGACAATTTCATGCTCCCAACACATCGGCACATACTGAAACATATCAAAAATGCACTGGACCCCAAGTGACCCCCAACAAAAAGGGAAAAATATCTGGAGCGCATCAAAAATGCACCAGAAGGCTTAAAAAAAATGTGCAAAAAACCGTGAACATAGAAACGCATCCAGACGGCATTTCTATGGTGTGAATCGGCCCTTAAAGTGCATTCCCCTCCCCCCCTCCATCTATCACCCAAGCCGTGCGATCTTTAACCCTCGGTTTGGACACAGTGTGCACTTCTAGTTTACAAACTGATACTGAAGACTGTCCAGCACAGTGCAGACATAGTCCACAGGAGGGACGGCTGGGTGTAGAAGCCGTCGTGAGCCGTCTGGGATGTATTTTTTTATTTGCACATACAAGTTCAGGGCAGGCGATTGGGGGGTGCACCCTTCAAGGTCCGAGCTGTGTACCCCAACACCCCCCCCCCAGATGGGGTGTGGCCCCCCCCCCCCCCCCCCCCCCCCCCCCCCCAGATGGGTGTACACCCCAAAAGTTTGTCCTGAAAATCTGTTTGTTATTTCAGATAAAAGTATCACAGCCGGCACTCCGTGGTTCCTGTGGCCCCTGTGGCCCCGATGCAGGTCCCATCACCCTCCAGCAACTTTTCCATATTTTTTGCCTTTTTTCTTCGATCAGCCGGGTGAACAGGAAGAAGCCCCGCCTCTAAAGTCGCCGTTCGCCCGATTCGGCTGCAGAAGGTGGAAATACACTAAAAACAAGCAAAGTCGATGTTTCAGCCGCTGGAAGTTCCCGGCGGCCTCTCCGCAGCAGTCAGACGGTTAAAAGGACGAGGAGCCAAGGATGCGATGGAACCCGCGCCGCCTCGCCGATGGCTGAACACAAAGTGAGCGCCTGAGAGTGCCGGCAGCGTTGGCAGAGACATGAAACGGACCGCCAGGTATTTCCTTGACACCCAGCCCCACAGGAGATCCCGGGAGGGGGAGGGGGGAGGCGGATTCCTGGGTTATAAATACAGAGGGGCGAGCGGGCGGCGGGAAATCCTACGCAACAGACTGGCACACACACACAATGCTGGACACCTTCGCTGCCAGAGGGCGCGTGGCCCGCTCCGCCTCCGGAGCCAAGAATGGCCGCCATGTCTTCCTGTCTGCGTCACGCCACCGCGAGGAGAAAAAAGGAAATCACTATTATTGGGCCGAACTAGACAACACTTGGGGGGGGATGGGATGTTTGGGGGGGATGGGATGTTTGGAGGGGAGGTGTTTGGGGAGGGGGATGGGATGTTTGGGGGGATGGGGGGTAGCAGTCAGCGCTTATTAGTACATCTTTACCCCCAAAATCTTGTAGCTGCAGAAAGTTTTAGCCGAGATCAGATCAGAGTCCTCGGAGCTCCGCACAGCCATCCGAGACCCTCCTGTCCAGGGTGACAACGCTGCTGTGCTATTCACTGCCAACAGGAAGTGGAGAAATAACAGACTTACTGGCAGGATCACCGGATAAGGCAGAGGAGTGAAAACAACAAACGCTGCGTCAGTGCTACACGGACCCTTCTACACGCGTGTGTGGGGGGGGGGGGCGGAGAATGTCAGAAATGGCCCTATAGTAACAACCGGGAGCCAGGGGGTGGGGGTGGGTACAGAACCCTTACATCAGGTGTCCCCATCACAGTCCCCCCCTTACATCAGGTGTCCCCATCACAGCCCCCCCCTTACATCAGGGTGTCCCCATCACAGTCCCCCCCTTACATCAAATGTCCCCATCAGAGTCTCCCCATTACATAAGTATCCCCATCACGGGGGTAATGGGGGATGAGATGGGGGGGGGATGGGATGGGGGGCGCAGTATTCACGGTTCGGGTTGCTGGAAATGTACGCAGCGCTTCGCCCCGCCCGGTTTCAGAGCGCACAAGTTGTTTCGGCGTTCCAGAACCCAACCCGGCCACAGATGACCAG